GGGGGGGAGAAACCAAGACAGACAGGTATGTTGATAGACCTGATATCGACACACATACAGACAGATGGACAACATAGGCGAATAACTTTAGCTGTGCATTACACTATGGGGGTAAAAAAATTGCAACAGAAATGATTTTCGTGTCATTACAACCAGAAAACCTTCCTCTATAACATACTGAAAATCGGCACGAATCGGAAGGGAGGAAATTTGTTTAAAATGCCGTTTTATGGTATAGTATCGAAATAGTCAAAAATCGATACCAAAATATTTCAGAATCGCACGCCATATCTCATAACACACAAATCTTACACCAATGCATGGGAGTCTGTTCCTTAAAACTTATTTTTCTTATGGTGAGCCAAAAAAGTTCGAGTAGTAATGTACATTGAGTAATCGATACTAGTAACTACAAGAACTAGGGCCTAGCTATTTACAAAGATATATGATTGACATAACAGAAAGCGAGGGGGAGGAGAAAGAAGAAGAAGAAGAAGAAGAAGAAGAAGAAGAAGAAGAAGAAGAAGAAGAAGAAGAAGGAGAAGGAGAAGAAATTTGCAGGTAGGATAGCTATCTAGTTCATTTTTATTGCAGGTGCATTTCATTGAACTGCAGTCTAATTTACATAGATATCTCACTGTTTTGAAGAAGTACGTGTGACATTGATTTCTTGTCCATTTGAATTGAAAAGTGAAAAATGGTATCTGAAAGAGCACTGATAGATTTCAAGAAACTCTCTTAAAGAAAGAATAATACTCTGTTGTATCCCAGTCTTCGCGCTCACAGAGGCTTCCCTATATAGAACCACCTGGAATGTGATGGAGTATTACACTGATGACCTGGGTATGAACGTTTTCTTCTGTTGAGTATGTGTGAGCGCTGCTGTAATCCCCATGCCATGAATGTCCTTTCTTCATCTGGAGTCCTTATATTGTAATCAAAGTTGAATGCCTCAAACTGAGTACAGCTGTGTGCTATAGTCGTGAATATTTCCAGTGAGTGACCCAACAGCAGCATTCAAGTTAAATCTTTGAGCCTCTCGGTATGGGGAGCAGAGTCCCAATGCGTTCAGTGAGTTTGCAGGAGGCCTTGAGGAGAAGTGGCAATTAAAAATGCACAGATTCCTTCTAGGAAGGGAGCAATCATAGATCTCGGTCGGCGGGCAACTATTTTCTTTCGTGGATTGTAGTACATATTGACAGTTTCAAGAAACTGCACAAAGAGGCCACCAAGTTTGCACGTTTTCCTCTCCGCTATAAATATATCCAATTAGATTTACAGATGGATAGACTTCTTTTTCAAATGTAGATTTTTGATCAATTGACGAGCTGCCTTGACAATTTGCTTCTGTCTGGCATCCTTAAAGCCCTTTGATGTTTCGTAAAATTCTCGCATTCGTATAATTGAAGAAGCCGATTACTGAAAAGTAACAACAACTACTCCCCACCAACCTCCGCTATTCATTATGTTATGCTTTTCCTTGCAGCCCATCAGTTTTTCTTTTTCAGGTACTGTGGTCCATAATATAATGTACAGTGCCCTTCATCTTGTGCAGATGGTCTTCCAAAATGGTCATCAGATTCAAAACATAGATCTGCTGAAATTAATTTGCCTTTAGACTGGATACAACATTATGAACGGCATCTATCTTTAAAAAATCTTGAGGTCTCAATGATGCCTTATTTTATTTTTTTAGATGCAACTTCTAATGTAACAGAATATGGACGCTGCTCGAAAATTTTGAAGTCGTAACTGAATAAAGACTACCGAAAAAAGTCGTTGTTCGTTCGTACTTTCTTTATTGTGTCCTGACTTCGGGTCTCGGTACACACACGAATGACATTATAGGTCTCTATGACTTTGCTTGACTGCAAAGTTTTCTTTTCAAACCTTAAACAATCAGCAAGTACTAAATAGGAACCCTTGAAGACTTAACCGAAGTTTGTGTTTCAGACTGTTAAGCTTCCTGGACTGTGACTTGTCTGTCTATGTTTTGCAAAAAGATTTTGCACTTATTTAAGATCGGTGACACGAAATGCGCACTCGGTGCCCTTCAGTCCCATCTATAATATTGTTTTTTCTATGTTGTACAACGGCCAGAATAATATTCCCACCTTGTTATGTCAATTGCACAAGAGGAAATTCTTTAGAGGGAAATTACACAGTAAACAATAAATATCCACAGAAAGGCTGAGGATGTGAGAAAACGTATTCTTAATATATTGGCTTTCCATACTTTTTACATAACAAGCGCTGATACCAATTACGATTACATCATTTTCCGGAAAATCCATACTAATTACGTAAACATTCTCGAGTCAAAGCAAGTATGATAAACCAATTTGATCGTAATATAAATTTTGCTTTTTTGACAACTTTTAACGCTTTTTTAAACAATTTCCTCCACGATTTCGAATACCGATTTTTAATATGTCATTAGATGCAATTTTATCTATCGAACCATATACATTTCATTTCTGTTGCAATTTTTTTAGGGTCTACCCTTATCTTTCTTCCACTAACAGTCAGATAGACAAGACTCAATTTCCTCCTTTTGCATTGGATTCAAATCCAACCAAAGGGGAATCAACGCCTCAGCAGTAGGAATAAAGAAATGAGTTGTTTCCCTTAGATTAAAAAGGAACCGCGTCACATTTGCAATTAGCATTACCGGTATGTGATATTGATT